GCATGTTTCCAAGCACTTTAGGTAATAGTTTTCCTACTGAGACATGAGGGGAAATGTATTAGGGAAGTCATTAGGAAAGCAATTTCACTGTTGTTTCTTGGTACATAGTAAGAATTTAGTAAGTAATGCATATTAAAGAAAAAAAAAACTTGCACTTTAAATTCTTACTCTAACAAGTTCCTATGTTAGGAACTTTATGTACTTTAGTCATTTAATCGTAATAGCAACTTATTGTGGCAGATATTATCATCCTACTGTACAGAGAGTTTAAGTAAATACTTCAAAGTCACACAACTTATAAATAAAAAGCCAGAATTCAGACTCAGGTCTGTTTCTCTTCTAATGCGATGATATTCTACATCATCACCCTGTTTCTTTAAATACAGAAAATGAAAAATATTTTTATTGTACAATTATACATGTTTCTTCTCTAAAAGTTATTTTGCTCTCCCAAATATGCCACGTTAAGAACTTTTGCCATTAAGTGTATTTTTATAGGAGGCTGAAAAAGAGACAATTATGGAAACATTTGTTTGAAATTCCAGTAATTTCAAATTCCATGGAAAATATTAGCAAGGAGTCAGTGTTCTTTGAAAAATCTTGCTTTATTAGAAGCTTGCACAATATTCCAGCAGCAGTATTACCTCATTCATTCCCTTATAAGCTCCAATGTATGCATTCTCTGAATAAATTAAAGCAGCTTTAATACTGTCTTCATGTCTGAAAGTTTTTCAGTTGAATTAAAATGCATGCCTAAGTTTAAGTATTGAGAACAGACTTCATGGATTCATAGCACCTTAGAATTTGAAGCAATTCCAGCCATCAACCAGTAGAGCTATTGGTTTACCAGCCCCATTTGTCACTACTTTGAAATTTCTGTTTGATCTGTGTGAAGATTACCTACTGTGACAGCTCTGTGACAGCTGTGCACAGTAGCTACACTGGAATTGAAATTGTTGCAATAGGGGAGGGAAGAAAGAACTGATACGTGTTAACCTCTGATCTTCACTTTCCCACCATGCCTACCTGATGACCTTGCTCACTGCTTTCTCCATCTGTTTTGTGGTCTAATTACTATGTTCTTGTAGGTATCTCATCAGTATCTTGTGTTGATAGATAAGTTCTAGATTTAGTCGTAGATTTAGTGGTAAATTGGTATATAGCATAACTCTTAAGGAAGCTAACATGTTTGTATTTTCTCTAATCTTTTTTCCTACTTTCAAGTTGCTTATTTTTCTGTATTTCTTTTTTTCTTTAGAACTTCCACATCCCTCCACTGGACTCTAATGGGCTAAAATGTCCTCCCCTAAGTATATATGTCTGGAGTTTGAATAAACCATATGTAATTGAATTACAGAAATTGGAAAAATGTTGACGTAACTTTTAGTGGCCACACAGACCTTGAGATATTTGCAGTTCCTCCCATACAGGTTGGGATGAATGATGACGGCAGGAGGGAGCAGGGTAGCATTGTTCAGTCTGCTGAAGTTTGAGATTCTGAAACAGAAATGTTTTTAAAACCAAGGACAGCAAGAAAGTTTTCTGGGATCTTACAGAAGAATGATTTTATTTTAGAGGAATTCTATGATTAAAATACTGGGCGAGTTATAAGTTGGTACAAAGAGTACTTGATTTTCCCAGGAATCAAATGAGATAAGTTGGGCTGGAGGTAAAAGAAGTTTGAAAGGATCTTAAAAACTTAGTAATGTAAGTGACAAGATGAACGGAGTTCCCTGTAACTTATATATGTGCGTCTATTTATAATATCTGCCTGGTTACTTTCCGGACAGACCTCGTCTTTCATACCTCTGAATTCCTTTGTAGTATAGAAAACTGTGTATGTGCTTTTAGGCTGAACTCGTTGGCTAAAGAGGACTTATGTGAGGAATAGAAGAATGCAAGGGAAGGATTGGGACTACAGAGGCCATGATATATGAAGGAGAAAACACCCTCTTTCCTCATTCCTTTTCTCCCTCTCTTCTGCAAGCATCTGTTTAACCACAGCAGTGTGTCAGTTGCTATGCTAGGATCAGGGAACAGATGGATAGATAAATGCATCTCTTAGTTGAAGAAGCCCCTATTGGGAAGAAACAGACATGTAAACTGACCATTTTTATGATACAGGTAGATAATTCTCAGAATGTAGGTATATACAGGTAGTAATTGGAACATAGAGGAAGGAGTCTGAAGAAGTTAAAGGTGTTCCAGGAGATAATGCATAAGTTGAAACTTGAATATAGAATACGGCTTGCTAGCTGGTCAATAGTAGGGGGAAAAAAGCCATTCTAGACCGAAAGGACAGTTTATACAAAGCCATATGCAGTTCTGAGAGCTTGTCTGTAGTTTAGTAAAGCTGAAATGTAGTTTTGGAGGGGCAGGAAGAGTGGGAGGTGGTTAGGGAGTTGGGAGGCTTCAGGTTATAAAAGATCTTGGCTGCCATAAATAAAATTTTGAATTTTGTTTTTAAGTTAATAGGAGACTAGGCACAGTGGCTCATGCCTGTTATCCCAGCCCTTTGGGAGGCTGAGGTGGGAGATCACTTGAGGCCTGGAGTTCAAGATCAGCCTGGGTAACATAGTGAGACCTTGCCTCTATAAAAAAGTAAAAATAAAAAGATTAGTCAAGCGTGATGGTGCATACCTATGCTGTCAGGGAGGCTGAGGCAGGAGGATCACTTGAGCCCAGGAGTTCAAGGTTGCAGTGAGCCATGATGATGCCACTGCACTCTATCCTGAGTGACAGAGCGGGATCCTGTCGCAAAAAAAGGGAGATTATGGAAGAGTTTTGTGTAATATAATAATAAAATATTTAATAATAATAATAAATATCGAGTAGGTACTGTGTGGCAGAGATTCTTTTAAATGCTTTACATATCACTCATTTAATCCTTTCAGGAACTCTGTGAGTTATAGATGCTGTTATTATTCTCTTATTAAAGACAAGGAAATGGAGGGGCATAGTGCCTAAATAATTTGCCTAATAATATACCATAGTCAGGATAAAAAAAAACCCAGGTATTCCGGCTGCGTAATACATACAGGGTGCAGAAAGAAGAGGCTGGTTAGGAAACTCTGTCACAGGTGTAGGTGGGAACTGCTGAAGGCCTGGGCTGGGAGAGAGCTGGGTGGAGGAGTGAGAGTTCAGATGGTGAGGGCTGAAAGTCCCAAAACTGGTTGAGTAACTTTCTGTTGAGCAGCTGTGCTGATGATCCCTGTCTTACTGCCTCCTTTCTATTGTTTCTCCCGCATTTAAAACTCTGTTCTAGTCCTTTTGTTTAGTATTGCTCTCTTCTTGCCTCCCATTAGTAACCCTGATTTACTCATTCGTTTAACACATATTTGTCAGGTTTTCGTTGGTATGAATCTACATTAATTGCTGTGCAGCTACAAAAAGATAAAGGAAAAGACAGAGTCCCTGCCTTTTAGGAATGTTTCATACAGTGTGATAGGTAAGATTAGTCAAAACCTGAACACAAGTCAGAGGTGACCAGAGTGATACAAACTTCTGGGAGAGCCATGTGACATTTGCTTGTATACTTCCTTTTCCCTTTTTTTTTTTTTTTCCTGAGACAGAGTCTCACTCTGTTGCCCAGGCTAGAGTGAGTGCCATGGCGTCAGCCTAGTTCACAGCAACCTTAAACTCCTGGGCTAAAGCGACCCTACTGCCTCAGCCTCCCGAGTAGCTGGGACTACAGGCATGCGCCACCATGCCCGGCTAATTTTTTCTATATCTATATTTTTAGTCTGTCAGTTAATTTATTTCTATTTTATAGTAGAGACGGGGGTCTCGCTCTTGCTCAGGCTGGTCTCGAACTCCTGAACTCCAGCGATCCTCCTGCCTCAGCCTCCCGAATAGCTGGGACTACAGGCATGCGCCACCGTGCCCGGCTAATTTTTCCTATATAGTTTTAGTTGGCCAATTAATTTCTTTCTGTTTTTAGTAGAGATGGGGTCTCACTTTTGCTCAGGCTGCTTTCGAATTCCTGACCTTGAATGATCCTCCTGCCTCGGCTTCCCAGAGTGCTAGGATTATAGGTGTGAGCTATCACGCCTGGCCCATTTTCCCTTTATATTTCTAAAACTATTTGAGATAAATTCATCTGGGCTAGTGAGGTTTTCAGTTCCCTGGTTTCCCTAAAGTCAGAGCTGGGTCTCTCTTAGTGCTGCTATACATTCTCTTTTTAAGGGTATAGAATACCTAGTATTCCTTAACACACACCCCTTCCCAGTTTTTACAACATCTTGGCCTTAGGAGGAAAAAAAAATCTGATTCACATCTGCCACTGGACTGTAATTTCCCTAAGGACGAAGGCCATTCCTATCTTGTTTCCAGTAGTATGTCCTGACATTTCCTGTGAACTTGTCACATGATAAGTGCTAAAATATGGAATTGAGTACTGCATCCAGGGTGAAAATTTCCTAAAAATGCTCTTATCAGGAGTTAGGAAATCTAAGTACAGAGCTAAGGGAAGCTAATGCACACAAGTTTGTGATGCAAAATAAAACTACACTAAAGTATAGTTTTGCGTTTTTTTTTTTCAGAGTGGAAAACACAAAACTACAACACTGCAGATTGGCAAGAACGGCTTTGTGGGGCAGCCCCACATCCCGTTGCCCTTTCTGGGGAGCCATAACTTAATGTCCCATGTTTAGAACTTAATGATATTCACAGCCCCTTGTTTTGTTCATTACCTGCTGAGGAGTGAGGTTATTCTTTTTCCTTTCTACTGCTTCTGCTCATTGTGAGAAGAGAACTTCCAAACACATCTTCTCTGCACCCCCATTGGGCTGATGGAAGATACAGCTTCTGAGCTCACTTGATCTTCACTGGGTCACATTTGCCCAAGGATGGAGTAGACTGTGCCTTAACAGAGTCTCTGTTTCCAAGTTCCACTTCTTTACCTTCTGCCCTCAGGTGTGACAGGTGCCCTGGGCAGAGGAGAGGCCTGCTACTCTCTCCCACTTCCTGTTTCTTTTTTTATCTACTTTTTTTTTTCTAAGGCTTAATTCACTTTATTTTTCTTGTATAAAAATGCTATGTTGTAGCCACAGCGGGAGCCTGAGTCCTCTGCACGGAGACTCTGGCGTGAGTCTTGACAGGATGGTCAGTGAATTCCTGGTGGGCAGACTTGGTAAATATTGTCTCTTTCCAGAGGTCTGGAGTCAGATAGCTGTAGGTCTTGGAGATGGTGTCAAGAGTGGCCTTGGCGAGGTTGCCTAGGGCGGCAGTGCAGCCCCTGGCTGAGGTGTAGCGGTCATTGATAACCAGCCACCAGCAGCAGCTTCTTGGGCACAGGGGCTGAGACGCTGCCAGTTCACTCTAGGGACAGGGATGAGACGTACCAGCACAGAGCCGCAGCAGCCTGTCACCTTGCAAGGAATGGTGTGGGGCTTGCTGATCTTGTTCCCCCAGTATCCTCTCCACACGTGGACAGTGGAGAGCTTGACCAGGATGATGGTCCCTCAGATGGCAGTAGCTACCTCCCTGGAGCACTTAATGCCCAGACTGGCGTGGTGGCCATTGTAGTCCCCGATGGCAACAAACACCTTGAGCCTGGTCTGCTGGCCAGCATGGGTCTGCTTTGGCACCGGCATAATCTTCAAAACCTCATCCTCAGGAGTGCCCCCCCCCCAGGAAAAAGTCAATGATCTCAGACTCCTCAATGGGCAGGCAGAAGAGATAGATCTCCTCTAGGGATTTGATCTTCATGTCCTTGACCAGGTGGCCCAGCTTGGTGACAGACATCCACTCCTTGTCCTCGGCCTTGTGTCTGTAAGCTCCACTGCCTCGGCCTTGGCTCCAGCCATGGCCACAGCCCCAGTCCCGAATGCCACTGCCGTAGCCTCCATAGAAGCAGCCACGGCCTCCTATTCCAGGCTCTGGAGCCTCCTGGCCCTCCCGCTGCGCTGACGTCACCTGCCATTTGGTGTTTTCTCAAAGAAGCCTACTGCTTTTTTTTTTTTTTTTTTTTGAGACAGACTCTTACTTTGTTGCCCGGTTTAGAGTGCCGTGGCATCAGCCTAGCTCACAGCAACCTCAAACTCCTGGGTTCAAGTGATCCTCCTGCCTCAGCCTCCCGAGTAGCTGGGACTACAGGCATGCGACACCATGCCTGGCTAATTTTTCTATTTTTAATAGAGATGGGGGTCTTGCTCTTGCTCTTGCTCAGGCAGGTCTTGAACTCCTGACCTCAAGCTATCCTCCAGCCTCGGCCTCCCAGAGTGCTAAGATTAAAGGTGTGAGCCACTTCGCCTGGCTTTTAATTTTTTAAAACTGACAAAAATTGTATATATTTATCATGTACAACATGATGTTTTGAAATATGTATACATTGTGGAATGGCTAAATCAAGCTAATTAACATATACATTACCTCAAATACTTACATTTTTTTGTGGTGAGAACTCCTAAAGTCTACTCTCTTAGCAATTTTCAAAAATATAATACATTGTTATTAACTATAAACACAATGTCGTACAATAGAGCTCTTGAATTTACTCTTCCCGTCTAACTGAAGTTTTGTATCCTTTGTCCATTGTCTCCCAACCACCATTCCCCTGAGTAGCTACCATTCAACTTTCTGCTTCTATGAGTTCAACTTTTTTAGATTTCATGTATAAGCAAGATTTTGCAGTATTTGTCTTTCTATTCATGTCCTATTTCACCTAGCATAATGTCCCCCAGGTTCATCCATGTTGTCACAAATGACAAGATTTCCTTTTTTTATTTAAGCCTGAATAGTATTCCATTGTGTGTGTGTGGATCATATTTTCTCAATCCATTCATTGATGGACATTTAGATTATTTGGTATCTCGACTATTTGGGTTTGATAAAGAAATAATGCTGAAGCGAGCACAGGAGTACAGATACCTCTCCAACATACTGTTCTCATTTTCTTTGGACATCTATCCATTAGTAGGGTTGCTGGATCATATGGTGGTCTTATTTTTAATTTTTTTGAGGAACTTCCACACAGTTTTCTCCAAGGGCTGTTACTGTTAATAATTCACATTGCCACCAATAGTGTGCAAGGGTGGCCTTTATTCAAATCCTCCCCAACATGTGTTGTTATGCTGACATTCCTAGTGGTTGCGTCACTCCACTCTCTGCCTCCATGCTCACTGTGCTTCTTCCTCTTTGTATGTCTGTGTCTTCTCTTTTTTATCTTAGAAGGACACTTGTCATTGCAAGTGTCAATTAGGGCCTGCCTGGATAGTCTAGGATGATTTCTTCTCAGGATCTTTAACTTAATTATATCTGCAAAGACACTTTTCCCAAATAGGTTCTGGGTATTAGGATGTGAACATATCTTTGAGGGCCACCATTCAACCCATATATCTATTAACACATACTCTTATCCTCCCCATTTTACAGGGATACATTGAGTAAACAGTGAATCTGGCACTGGCCAGATTGTGATCAGGAGCTGTCCTTTCCATCACATGACATGATGATGCCATGCTAATTTATTCCACTCTTATTTGTAGATGGTCTGTTAGGAGGCATTGTCTGTATGCTGTCAAGTCCTTCATTTAGTTAAGGATAAGTTCACATCTGGTCAGTTTTTGCTACTGTTTGCTTAGCCTCTGCTTTGGTAAGTATATGCATACGATTCATTGATCAGTCTTTCAGTACAAAGACTGGCATTACCTTACCATGGTAATAATACCATCCAGCATAAGAAAATGCAGCTCACTACTTTGACAACTGCATAGACTTGTATTTCCGGTTTAGTGAGATTAATGAGGAACATCAGAGTTCCAATCTTGACCTCATCACTTACTTGTTTCGAGCAGATTACTTCAATCCTTAAACTTCAGTTTATTTACCCATAAATTAAGAATCCCTATTTGTAGTTAGTTTAAAAAGTTAAGCCTGAGCGTTTGATAAGTAGTTTGCCTAAACTGGGCATATAAATATTTTAAAAAATATAATTCCAGTGTCTATGAATTTCCTCAGGATAATTTGTGCCTCTGGCCTAGCAATAAAAGATAAACTTTTAAAACAATTCTTTATATCACAAGTGATGGAGCTTGCTCCTTTAAATTTAAAAAATTTTAATGAGTCAGTATGTTTCGTTAACCATGTACATATGTGATTATCGTTTTGGATGCCCAGATAATATTTGCTTTGCCTATTTGTGGTATCCTGCTCAACACACATTGGTTTTATGTCTGTGTCTATTTTTCTGGGGGTATGGGGGAAGGATCATTTTTCTTACCCAATGCCTAGCACACATACTAAAAAGAGAAAAATTATAGGAAAGAATGTTGCTCAGATCACATCATCAGATTATTGTACTTTTGGCATTTTGTGAGTGGTAGTTCCTTCCTAAGAAGATATTCTTGTTAAGGTTGGAAGGTACTGTTTTTTGTTTTTTTTTATTAAGAATACTATATTCCAGTTTTGAATGATATTTCCTAGACATGATCATCTTTCATTTTTATTGTCATTTCTAGTAGACGATTGTTGAAAATTCAGGGTGCTGGATAAAACAAACTGTCCTAGTTTAGTCGTTCTACTTCTTATCTTTTTCTTTGTTTTTCACAATTGCATAAGCCTATTTTTTAAGGTCATGGTAGTCAGATATATTTTTCATCTATTTTCTCATGAAAGGACTGACTTTTTAAAAATATTGTTTTCTTCTATTAAATCATGACTGAGCAGATTTCAAAAATATATATTTTTTTAGAAAATAGTGTTTTCTGACATATGTCTTATTTCTTGGTATTTTGTAACAACTCTTATTGTTTTTAATTTCAAAGTATTATGGGGATATAAATGTTTTTGGTTACATGGCCTGTCATGAATAAAGTGTTCATTGTACCTATTAGGTTTTCACCCATCCCTTTTTCCCCTTTGCCCTCTACTTGATTTCCATTGGGATTTACTTCCCTTTATGTACATGTGTGCTCATCAGTTAGTTCTGATTTAATAGTGAGCACATGTGGTGTTGATTTTTCATCCTTCAGATAATTCATTTAGGATAATGGTCTCCAGTTCCATCCAAATTCTTGCAAAAGGCATTAAGTCATCCTTCTTCGTGACTGAGTAGTATTCCATGGTATATATACCACATTTTGTTAATCCACTCATGAATCATGGGCATTTGGGTTGATTCTACATCTTTGCAATTACTTTATTTTATTTTATTTTTTATTTAAGCATATTACAGGGGTACAAATGTTTAAGTTACATATATTGCTTTGCCCTGCCCAAGTCAGAGCTTCAAGCGCGTCCATCCCTCAGACAGCGCGCACCACACCCATTAGGCGTGAATATACCCATCCCCTCCTCCCCACTCCTACCTGCCCAACACCTGATAAATGTTACTGCTGTATGTGCACATAAGTGTTGATCAGTTAATACCAATTTGATGGCGAGCATATTTGGTGCTTGTTTTTCCATTCTTGTGCTACTTCACTTAGTAGAATGGGCTCCATCTCTATCCAGGATGATACAAGAGGTGCTAGATCACCATTGTTTTTGTGGCTGAGTAGAACTCCATGGTATACATATACCACATTTTATTAATCCACTCATGTATTGATGGGCACTTGGGTTGTTTCCACATCTTTGCAGTTGTGAATTATGCTGTAATAAACATTCAAGTGCAGGTGTCTTTTTGATAAAATGACTTCTTTTCTTTTGGTTAAATATTCAGTAGTAGGATTGCTGCATCAAATGGTAGGTCTACTTTTAGTTCTTTGAGGAATCTTCATACTGTTTCCATAGAGGTTGCCCTAATTTACAGTCCTACCAACAGTGTAGAAGCGTTCCTTTTTCCCTATATCCACACCAGCATCTGTTGTTTGGGGACTTTTTAATAAAAAGCCATTCTGATTGGGGTAAGTTGATATCTCATTGTGGTTTTGATTTGCATTTCCCTAGTGATTAGTGAACATTGAGCACTTTTTCCTATGTTTATCGGCCATTTGTCTATCTTCTTTTGAGAAGCTTCTGTTCATGTCTGTTGCATCTCATCCCCACTTTTTAATGGGATTGTTTGATTTTCTTGCTGATTTGCTTGAGTTCTTTGTAGATTCTGGATATTAGTCCTTTATTGGATGTATAGCTTGCAAATATTTTCTCCCATTCTGTAGGTTGTCTATTTGCTCTGTTAATTATTTCCTTGGCTGTGCAGAAGCTTTTTAAATTTAATCACGTACCATTTATTTTTTTGATGCTGTGATTACTATTGGGGTCTTCTTCATAAAGTCTTTGCCTAGACTGATATCTAGAAAGAAGAGTTTTTCCAACATTTTCTTCTAAATTCTTAGGATTTCATGCTTACATTTAAGTCCTTTATCCATTTTGAATTTATTTTTATGAGTGGTGAGAGATAGGGATCCTGTTTCATTCTTCTGCATATGGCTATCCAACATTCACTGCACCATTTATTGAATAGGACTTCTTTTCCCCAGTGTATTTTGTTGTCTGCTTTGTCAAAGATCAGTTGGCTATGTGTGGATGGTTTTACATCTGGGTTTTCTGTTCTGTTCTATTGGTATATGTCTCTATTTTTGTGCTATTGCCATGCTGTTTTGGTTACTGTAGCCTTGTAGTATAGTTTAAAGTCTGGTAATGTGATGCTTCCAGATTTTTTCTTTTTGGTTAAGATTGCTTTGTCTATTTGGGCTCTTTTCTGGTTCCAAATGAGGCGTAGAATTATTTTTTCTAGACCTGTGAATATGATGTTAGTATTCTGATAGGGATTGCATTGAATCTATAAATCACTTTGGGTAATATGGACATTTTAACAATGTTGATTGTACCAATCCATGAGCATGATGTGTTTTTCTACTTGTTTGTATCATCTGCAATTTCTTTCCTCAGTGTTTGGTAGTTGTGTAACATTGGGCTTAATGTAGTCTTAATGTAGTCTGTATCTTAAATGAACTATTGATTATATAATGTAAAAAA